AATAAGGAGTAGAACCTTGAATTTACTCAGGAATTGTGTAGCCGCTTTCTACCTACGGAACACGCCAGTCCCACTCTACCTATAGTACCTACCATTTTAGCTTAATAAGGAGTAGAACCTTGAATTTACTCAGGAAATGAGTACCGCTTTTTACCTACGGAACACGCCAGTCCCACTCTACCTATCGTACCTACTATTTCAGCTTGATAAGGAGTAGAACCTTGAATTTACTCAGGAAATGAGTACCGCTTTTTACCTACGGAGCACTGCAGTCCCACTCTACCTATCGTACCTACTATTTCAGCTTGATAAGGAGTAGAACCTTGAATGTACTCAGGAATTGTATAGCCACTTTCTACCTACGGAGCACGCCAGTCCCACTCTACCATTTTAGCTTAATAAGGAGTAGAACCTTGAATTTACTCAGGAAATGAGTACCGCTTTCCACCTACTGGTTACATAACGGCACTTAACGTCTTAACTCAACAAGGTACAATGGCGTGACTTTCTTTGTGAATAGACCAACCTTGACCAACTTGTTGAACTATGAAACACAAGTAGCATCAGACTTGCGATCAGATGCTACTTTAATGTTGACAAATGTTCATTAAGTCGTTTTTCTAAATGCCACTTGTTTAACTAGAAGAAGGCCTAAGTTCCTGTGACTCTACAGTGGTGAAACAAAATACAAGCGTCGCCTTAATTCTCCCCCTCCTCAACTGTTGGTTCACAAATAATGTGTGGCCATTTGAACGTGGCTGTCTTCTCTTTCTGACATAAATCATAACCTTACATTCTCTACTTATATATCGTCTTTAATTCTTTTATTTAACTTCCGGTGGGTGAGATCACCACCCTAAGAACCTTGCTTGGTACAGACGAACATACAATACTAGTTATGTAAAATAATATATGTATGTATGTATGTATACACTTAAAAATCCTAAATAACAAGATAGCGTAGCTACCAAGGAAGCTGCTTCTGTGTATAATGTTCCTACCTCAAATAGCTGCAAATTAATTTATCTTTTTTTGACCACTCCATGCAAGCATACCAGGCTATTTCTTCTATGATCGACACCACATGTTAAGCACGCCGTTCTGGAGCATGGGAAACAGTCCTTTCTAAGTGACCGTGCTTTCATTTAGACTCTCGCGTTTAAACGCTGATAGGAACGTCATCGTCTAACATTTATACAAAAAAAATCTCCAGGACAGGACTGTAACCAATGTGATGTTGTTGGTTTTTGTTTGTTTTTTAATATTTATATCACGGAATCAGGTGAAAGTTTTAAAACTTTTGATATAACTTAAATCTTGCATAGCTTAAAAATTGGTACTGGATACATTTTTATAAAAACACACTAATTTAAAATTATTGAATGATATCTCTCTTTATTAGAAAAATGAGCTTCAGAAGGACATGTAATTTAAAAGTTAGAAATGTATTTGGGCACAATAAAATTAATCATTAATCAATCTTTTTTTTTTAATAAAATATGTTATTTCTTGGATACAGATCTTGTTGAAAATCATTAGCGAACTTTAGTGGAACATATTAAATATCTTATTTTAAGTTTTCTATAAGTATTATTTATTTGTGTTAAACCCATGATATAAATATATCGTGAATGGCAAACAAAATAAGACATCCAATATTCATAAAAACATTCGGAGTTGAGTAAAAAAAACAATATAACACGATAAATACCATAAAATGATTTGCAGCATTAAACACCAAAGGGAATTTTTTACTAGGTATCATAAACAAATGTGGTGAACTTTTCTTAACTATTGCCTTACCACAGAATTTAGAGATTTTTGGATATAATCATTTATTGTTGCATTATAATTCCCAATTACTCGTTTATACGTAATAATATTATTTACAAATATTATAATTATCATATTATTATTTGTTTTATCTCACAACTAAAACACTGTTTAAGATGAAAGAAAAAATGAGTTAAAAATTGCCCATTTGACTGGTCTCTTCATCTGATGAAAAGGTGTATCCCTCTTAATTATTTTAGATTAAATTTGACAATTTAGCATTGTTGTTGGTGGTACATTTTCGGAAATCCTTTTTTTTGTTTTACATTCTGTTTTACAAGAAGTATGTTTAACTGAAGCACACAAATCTTGTTGTTTTGTTTGAAGCGCAGTCATTTTTTAAAAAAAATATTAACGTACCTTGCATTTGTTGGGCTTTTCTCCAGAGTGAACTCGCATATGGATGAGCAGTTTGTAACGAGCGTTGAAGGGACGAAAGCGACGTGTACATCCTTGCCAAAAGCAAGTAAAGTCTTCACCTTTCCTTTGGTCAACGTGGGCTTTCTCAATATGTTTCACTAAATCTTCTTGTTCACTGAAGACTGCGCTGCAGTCGATCCACCTGCAAACGTGGTGCTGTTTGACTCCCTGATCACTGTCGTTACCTTCGCCAACTCGGTCACCTTCTGAGCTATCAAAGCTGGAATAGCTCGACGGATGACTGCTATCTGAAGAACTTTTCTTTTGTAAAGCAATTTTTCGGGCCATGTGTTGATCATAAGAAGGAGGAGGACGATTTGACAATGGCGGCAAGGGTGGAGGAGGTGGCGGTGGTAGTCTAAAGGGTGCTGTATTGGAAGAAGAATACATACAAGCGCCATCATATTGTTCAGTTTTAAACATATTATCTTGCTGTTCCACTACCTGGAGATTATTTTGTGGGATAATTACTTGATCCGGCACGGCAAACTCTTCGGACAAAGCGTAATTTCCTTGTTCAAGATTCTGCATATCTTGGCAGGCCAAGAAGTGACTATCGATGTCCAATACATCATCCTTAGCATCTTTGCCGCTGGTATTTGTTTGTGGAGTGTAAGAGATGCTCATCCTGTAAGCTGAAGAACCAGAACCTGAGTGTGGACTGCTACTGCTGTTTCTGGCAGACAAGTGACCGTAACAACCATGTCTTTCTCCAGAAGCAGGAGACATACTTGCTGAAGAACTTCGAGACCCATTCCATTGAAATACCAGGGATGTGGGAGATATCCTGATTAGAGTATTCAAGTCTAACCCATCCGATGACAAAGGAGAGATCGACAAAGCTCTTTTTCCAGTTGCACGTGAACCACGGCCTGAATAAGATGACCTTGCAGAATGACGAGGACTGACAAAATTAGAAGTTGGTGGGTACATTTCCGCACAACTCGAATGAAATCCTGATAAAGAGCTCTGTGTCCCAGAGTACTGACAGAGAGCACCGCTTGGTGCCATCACGTTGTGATATGGAAGAGCAAACTCATTGGCATTTGTTTGGATGTTTCCAACTGAGGGCAAAATTGAATACCTGCTCCAGGTGGTTTCTTCCTTGACTTCTTGAATTGATGTGCAGGGTAAATATGGCACAGTCGTATTACTTGCAGCCGGTGGTAGATCAGAAGAAATGGGGTTAGCAGGATCAGGCACAGGATTGGTTAATAACGGCTCTTGTGGTTGTAGGAGGATTGAAGAAATGTCACTTTGATCAACAGAAGGCTCTTGAGTGCCAAAGTGAATATCAGGAAGGCCAAGAACACTTCCCGAGTCTGTCGTCGTTATCATCAAATCGGAGTCAGAAACACTATTAAAAAGTTGGTCTGAAGATGAAGCAGAAAGAAGAGAATCCAAAACAGTATCCTGACAATTTAAGAAATTATCTGAACTTGTCTCAGCAAAGTTCTGGATACCTTCCGACGCAGAAACAAGGGAGTTAACGAGTGAATCTATAACTGGCTGGTGACTAGAAGACGAGTTCATGAAAGGAGAATTGTCTAAGCTTTGGTTACAATCTCCATGAAGATGAGATGTTACAAATGAGGATGTACTCAGCTCACCAGAGAAACTAGAACAACTAGGACTTGGATTGGTGCTTAGTGTTAATGTATGGCTACCTGGAGAACTTACACTGGCAGCTCCTGGGGACGGTAAAATATCTAAGTGCATTGTGGGTAGCACGTGAACTGAGGATAGTGTAGTATCTTCTCTGTCAACCCTTTTACCTCGGCTTGATGTGACCTTTCTAGAGTCGATAGTAGAAACTGGAACAAGTAAAAATAATAATCAATTTAAAAATTTGAAGCAACAGTTGGTTACTTTGCATTGTATCTTTTGCAGAAGGTTCTTTGTCAGTTAAGATTCATAACAAGAGCATTTGATTCGTACCACTACTAGAATATTTTGATTTACTATTTCAATTATTTTTGTATATTGTTATAGTTTGATTGTTACACCATGTGATAATTACAAAAAATGTCACTACTTCCAAGCTAAACCTTTAAAGAGTGTCTAATAAGTGAAACAAACTTATAGCCTTAAATATACATAAACATTAAACTTACTTAATAGACTCCCCCATACAACACACACATATATACAAAACAAACACCCAGTAGTTTGATGATTCATGATTAAGTAAATATTTTGGTTTAAAGTTTACTCCGTAAATGGTTAGCTACTGATGTGATCATTAATATTAATTACTTATATGTTTATACAAAATACTTTTAAATTTTATCAAACACGTTTTACATTAATTGGATTTCTTACGTAAATTTCAAATTTTCGTTTTATGGGGTTGAAAATGGCACCAGTATACCGGAAACCATCAACAAATCATCAACGAACGAATAAGATGCAGAAATGAGTATGTGTTTGTTTATGTTGGTGTAAGTGGGCGGAAAGAGATAACAGCAAGAAAATCCGGCAGCTGCTTTATTTTTGACTGTAGCCCAGTAATAATTTTCTAACTGTATTATGACACACACAAAACAGTAGAAGAAGAAGAATTACAATTACACAGATAAGTTTTAATGCAAAATGTTTCAGGCATAGGATAAAGCCAACATATCGCACAAGCGATTCTTTAATAAAAACGTTTTATTTATGAAAGATACGGCTAAGCCTGTTTCACTTGATCAAGGAGGTAAACATTGTTTATAAACATCTATAACTACACAAGTACGAACACACAGAAAGCAGTAATGTAATCAAGTAGTAATGAAACGATTTGAGTTTAATCAAAATTAGAATTCATTTCGTTTTTGTCACTTATATAGTTTTATGTTTCAAAGATTTCTCATCTAATCAAATATTCCACAAAATAGCTTTAATTAGTCTGTTATATTTATGAAAGCGTTTGTCTCAATAAAATTCTAAGATAGCCTTAAAACTCGAAAAGAAGCGTTCAAAGGGTAACTTTGATTATCGAAGAAAGGAAAAATTAAACAAAAGCATTTTAATAAAATTTATAAACTATACATGTAAAAATTATTTACATTTATTTGTGTCAAAGTCTCATCATTTTTATACTTTTGTTAATTTACTTTTGTGCAAATCATTAATTTTTTTTTGTTTTCTCAGCTAGCCTGGTTATTAACGTGTTGGGCTACAGATCGAACAGTTCAAAGTTCGATTCCTGATGCAACTGACCACGTTCTACAGTTTCATTTATGGGTGCATTATAAAAGTGATCAATTCAGTCCCATTATTCAGTTTAAAGAACCGGACAAAGCCTTTGTGGCGGCATGTGCTACTGTCTGACTGTCTTTCGTCTGGTCAATAAATACAAGTGACAGCTATATCTGAACCATGTAGGACGTGGGCGGGAATTGGGACTAAAATGTTGGTAAGGGAGGTAAATAAATGTTAATAAACAACGTTAGACTTCACAAAATTGAATATTTAATGTACAAGAAAATGTACAAAGAATATCAGACTAACTTCCTTACAATTTTAGACAAACTCACGATTATACGACCGTTTTATTTCTCACTTGCCAAAATATTTTTAATGTGGGGGAGGAGAGCATCTGTCTCCTCTTTCTCCCCATAATCATGCCATTGCTAAGAGATTCTAACCTAAAAGTTTGGCCCACGTGCGCAAAATATGTCGTTCATATTAAAAATTCCATTTCTTTTTTGTCGGTGCACAGTATCACGGAGTTTGTTTTACCTGCATATTAGGTTTTTCCGCATGGCTTTGCTTTGCTGCTCAATAGCGGCAAATAGGGAGAAAAAGGATTAGTTGAACTTGCAGTGATATTTAAGTATCAACTGAAAACAACATATCATAGAAACGTATACTGCTGGAAAGTGTAATAAAATAGACAATCCAGTGTAGCTTGTAAAATGGATTTACTAAAGTAATAACTATGATAATAGTCACTAGTGTATGCACTGTTTTCCCTGTAAAGCCTGCAATTCCCATGAAAAATAAAGAAAATAGCTAACTGTTATATATCTTTGAAGACTATGGATACAAATGCTTCGTATGTAGAAGTGGTTTAATCTTGCAGTGTTAATGCAATGTGTTCTAGTTATTTTTGCTTCCTAAAATGTAAATACAGAAATTATTGAGATACAAACAAACACTCATTCAGCTATTTGGTGAACCATGAAGATGTAATCTTTAAAAAAAGGACGCCATGAAAATATTGGAAAAATGTATGCTAGAACATTAACTTAAAAGTAATTTTTAAAGCACTTCTGCTAAATGGTTATACATTAAAATGCTTTTTAATTGACAGAATTAATTCGTTCTTTCAATGACTGATCTTTCAAAAGTAGTTAGCGTCTTTAAAGAAAACAAACTATTCAAAAATGTTTTTAAACTAAGGCAAGGGTCCCTAAGGACTTGCAAAAAAATTATAGCCCACTAATATTTTCAACATCGAATTACTGCGATTACGTGTTCTATTATACATATAAATACAAAAAATAAAATGTTGACTGAACAGTAGAAATAAACATACTCTCACAGAAAACAACACATTTTTCATCATTTCAAGCAATTAAAGAAAAGTGCCTCGTTCCTATAAAAATGTATATGATTTTCTTAAACTGGAGGAGTTAAAGACTTTCCTATTAATGCGAAACATATAATCAACCTCCAGTGCAAGAAATAGATACATAGCGGCTTTTATAACTTACCCATGAGTCACCAAAAGAGAACAGGTATCTTGACCTTTAATCAGGTAAGCGTGTGGGTTTAATTGCTACGATTGCGACTCAATGAAGACGTTTTAAATGCGAACAAGTGATAACATGTTATTATATAATCTCATCCACACATGTGGGATGGTAAGATGCTGAATTCTTAGTCACGTACGAGTGGCCAATCACATGAATTGTTTTTAAGTGTGAACTTCAAGCTTAATTTTGATTGGCCTAGCAAAGACACGAGCAACACTTTTTAGGTAGAAACATGTTTAAACTATTCCTCACTAGGCAAAAAGAAGCAGCGTTCACACGGGAGGAAGGGTGCCTGATTCACAAGCTTGGTTGCTATGGCAACATTCCGCCGGGCAGCTGGGATGAGAGCTCACGTTTCACCACAACAGCTGACTGAATGAGTGAGAAAGGATAAAAACATTTACACGTATCACATAAGAGCATTAACGCTGTCCAGCCAGAACGCTAAGACTAAGATAAAGATACCGAAAAATGGGTCCTTATAAACATTACTTCACATATAAAAAATAAACAGTTCAATGACCAAGAAACAGAAAAAGTATAAAACTGACCAAGTGAAAATAAATAGTTTGGTTTAGAACCTTATTACAGAAATATTAATTAACGTCAACCACAATAATGTATACACTTCAAGATATTATTTCAGTGCTTTGATGTCTTCACAGCCATCCGTATAGTTTACAACAAAAACAAAGGATGTTTCAGAAAGTGTATCATTTATACTTGTAAAATAAATATGTATTGTAAGTTTCAGTAACAGTGTTTACAAAGCCAGTAATTAACGACCATGATCTCAGTAACTAATAATACAATTTTAACCATGTTTATAGTAGCATCTGCATCATTAAGTAGCTTTCATTACATCGTGTGGGTTGGAAATTTTATATAATCCCTGAAACATGTTTAATTTCCTTAACCTTATCTCTCAGTTAACGTAAACCTGGTGACATCAAACAGCTTAGACATTAATTGAGTTTAATACATTTCTTGGGGTAATATTTTGCTAGAAAAACAATCAAATGATCAGCCTTTCAGAAATATAAAACACACACAACAATACCGAGGTTTGGGTACGTTATGCTAAAATGGTTTTGGAGCTTCACCACGTTGTTACGGTTCATGGCGACAGCACATCTTGAAATAGTCCTATAGGATAGTTTCCATTGCAAAAAGACCCATCGTAAGGTTGCCATGTACCAAGCACAGCACTCCTCCTTGCATGCTTTTCATAAGCGAACTAGTGTACGAGGACAACGATTTCCCAACGCCAGTTTCAACAGTCCGCTCGCACAGAAGTCTGTAGGTGATGCGTCCGTTTCATTCTTCAGCTACTTGAGGTTTGCGATGGTTGAATGAACATATCGTGAAACCAACTTGTGTACATGTGGCTTGTGTTAATGTTTCAAACAGAAGTATTTCTTGATTGTGTTGCGTAACATTGCCTAGTGTATGTGGAAGGTACTTGCCACTGACTGTTGTGTTCGTGGATTCTCATCTATTACAATACGAAGCATGTTGCTTACTACGGCTGGGCTACGACTTTTTTCATGTCTCTTTTTTTAATTATCATGGTACTTCAAGTTGATCCACATCCCTTTGTTTCCAATGTCATTATTTGTAAAGATATCCCCGTCTTGGAAATTCTAAATCCCTGTGTTAGTTTGTTTCATTGTTTAATTCTGTGTTAGTTTGTTTCATTGTTTAATTCTGTGTAAATTTGTTTCATTGTTTAATTCTGTGTTAGTTTGTTTCATTAGAAAAATTAAACTGTCTTAGCTAAAGATGACTCCTACTCTGCTATGGTTTATATTTATGTCCCCTAGTCCTACTATTTTCACCATTAAGTATGACAGAAGATGATGCACAAACACTTTCAATTCACTTGAGAATATTAAACATCCCGATTATTCACCCTCTACTGTTCTTTTTTCAAGAGAAAGCTATTTTAGAGCCCTCCAAATATGGTTTAGCCAATGACCTATAAAATGAAATTATAACCTCTTCAGACTTTACAACCTGAAATCCTATTTGCTCTACCACTAACAACAACACATTGCTTGGATCTAAAC